TTCCTAATTTAGTGATGTGTTTTTATATATACTTGATAGTGATGTCTCCCAGAGTCTGTTGCGGTGACGTATTCATATTTGTTTGTGACAGAGCACCTTTTGGGTGCCTGTCACTTTAAGGGCTGGGGGCAGCCAGCTGGCAGGTGCTTGAAGAGGTGGCCATTTTAGAGCCCTGCTTTCAGGGGTGAGGCAGCTGTTTGATGCCAGCTGCTGAGGGAGTAACAGATGAGGGTTGCGGGAGAGGCCCAACAGGCTGCACCAGGGCTGGCCCAGGAGTAAAGAGACTCCCCGCCCTGCTCTCTTTGAGTGACTGTGTGGGCCTGATGGCCCACATGGTCACTCAAAGGGAGCAGGGTGGGGTGTCTGTGGCACAGGGCAGTGTGAGAGAGGCCTGGTGAGAGCAGGCAGTGTCAGAGGCCCCAGTAAGAGTGGGCCAGAATGTATGAGGCCTGAATAGGGCAGTATGATAGAAGCCTAACTATATACTGAATTTGGCCTGGCCTCAGGCCGGAGATGGAACAAAACTGCGTGTCATCTGCGAGGCATGGGACACGATAGGGGGAGGTAGGAGTTGTGTGAATACTGCCTGTTGACATCAGGATGCCCAAAGGGCATCCTCCCACCTAGTTAACATCCAGATTATTTAACAGCAAGGCATGGAAGGTGAGTGAGGTGGGTGGTTTGCCCATAGACAGGTGGTGGGCTGGAGCTGGGACTGAGCCTGGGAGTTTGCCCCTGTCACATTGTTAATAATCACTTTAATTGTTAAATACAAAATAGCTCCAGCATGATACATGAAGCTATTTAATTGTTAAATGCAAAATAATTAGCTAAGAGGGCTTCTCAGCCCTTCTGTTATCTTTTCTCTGTATGGGAATGGACTTCCTTTGTGCTTCAAGGATCGTGTCCTTAAGGAACAACCCCTCTTCTTGCACACCTTTCGCCTTCAGTTTCTGGTCCCATAGCACTTCTCCTGTTAGTGACTAACATTGTTGAAATTTGCATTTTTGAAGTCCAAGACTTCAATCCTCCTGTCAGATTTGCCTGCCTTATGTTGAACAGTGAACATGACGGCTTCATGGTCACCGTCACCCAGATTTCCCTCTGTTTCTGTATATTTGCCCAGACTTCCCTCTATATTCCTACCTAACACATCTGCTAAATAGTCTTTTCATAAGTCAGACATATTTACATCAAAGATCCAGAGAAAATGGCTGCCTACACTTTCAGCATATACCAGACTCAAATCTTGGTTTTTCTATTTTCAGATTTTTGCCATGAGGATCTTGTGTCTGGCAATGAGCTAGTCATACTGCTGTACTTCTCTTACTCCATTTCTTAAGAAAAATCACTTGAAATTACTAAACTGTGGCAACTGGTGATGCAATGTAATTTGCAGTCTAACATTGATACATCCTTGGATCTGTCCAATGTCTGCAAAATATAGATGAAAAGAAAAATTAAATTAATTATTTAGAAGCATTTCAGTGAGGACACCAAACAGGTGTGGCTGAAGCCCATTGACTAAATTGCTGGGTAAATGCTTTGATAATGGCTCATACCCTCCCAAGGAGTGTACTCAGGCAACCTTTTTGCAACAAGTACTGTCTGGGTGAAAAGCTCCAAATCTTTCCTTGGATATCTCAAAAGAATCTAGAAATTGCAACTTCCCCCAACATTCTTGAATGGAAAAGAGTTGTTTTGCTTCTTCATCTATTGGAATGTAAATTTTAAGAATTCAAAGGCAAAGTAACAATACATAAATCGGATGAGGATCAAGTTGTTTCTACAAGACCATCTCTTTTCCCCAGGAGAGATTTTATTTTTGTCTTTTCCAAGACAGAGGGGAAAGTAGCTTCTATCTATCTTGGGGAAGCCCACAAAATATCATGCCAAAATACTAATGCAACTATTTTCCTTTTTTTGGAAGTGACAACAAATCAGTAGTTTATTATATGGACACTCTTCACAGTGGAATAATAGAGATGATGGTCAACATCAAAATATAATGGCAAAGCTGTGCAGGTATAGTAGCATAGTACCTGCCCAAACTAGAGCACGTTATCTGTAGCAAATGCTTTTAGATTTTCAGTTTCATAAGCATTAACATTAACCACCAAATGTGTCAAATGCACTGAATTAAATGACCTCTAAAACAATCAAGCTAAAAAACTGATTTAGAGGCTTAGCATTTTCAGATAAACTATAGCTGATATTTTTAATAGAAATTAACTATTTTGTTTAAAAAAAAAAGTAAACATATTTCTTAGTTTTGCTGTGCGTACTGACTGAAAGGAGTCCGAGCTCTCTCATTGCCAAGGAGGAGGGGGGAAAAAACTCTGGATCTGAGGCAAACAAAAATGTTTTGGTGAAATAGGATTAGACCTTAAATCTCAAAAAGCTTGTGGAGTCATGCAAAACAGAAAAGAGAGGTTTAGCCTGCATAGAAACAGAATCACATGAGTGAAATATCATTTAGACTTTTGCTCATGTGATGTTTGGTTGTTGTTGGAGACAAATCTTTGAGAAAAGAAGTACAGTAGTTTTTATGGATAAGGAGCTCAATTTCCTTAGAGTTCTGTGGTGCATAAATGTAATTATTACAAAGGAGGATGAAATAAAACTATGGGAAATACTTTTTGTGTGCTTGTATGTATTTTTCTGTTTAACTGTATCATTTTTAGGAATATGCATTATATGGTTAGCTGGATGCAACAGAAAGTGCATGGTTTGTTAAGACCAGGACTTGATGCTCATGTGAAAACACTGTCGGAAGATTATGAGGGGAAATTTTAGACATCCTCTAAAGAACACATATATTTAAAAGTCCTGGGATAGCCACTGAGTGAGAGTAAGAAATGAATTTGTAATGGTATAGGAATCAGGCTGTCTTGTTTTCATTTGAGTGATTGTTCTTATTCACATTTCACTGTGGATGGTTATATACCTCATGTACTTGAACTCAGAGACTTTTCAGCCACTGTACCTATACAATTAGTATATACCATTTGGTTTCTCATGCTTCACACAGCAAAGCCCTTCCCATTGTATCTCAGTTCCTTTCAACCACCTCTTGGTTTGAGATGGATGGTACTTATATTCAGACTTCAAAAACTTTTTATCTGTTTTGCTAATTTTAGATAGCTTTAATAGTTGGGTCTGTAGAGATTAGTTTTACTCAGCTGCTTATTTCTATGTGCTTTTTTGAAAATCATCCCTTGGACCCAAAATAGATTCCTTAATGTCACAAGGAGTTAAATTTTGCACCTCATACAAGCAAGCTTTACCAGCCAACAATTGATATTGTACTTCCTGCAGATTCCTAAATCTCAAATCCTTTACCTCCTGAACTACTGAGCCCTCCCCTGTCCCCCTGAGCGCTCAAACCTTGGTGCAGCCCCTTCTATCTCCTGGGCCACTCCTTACCCACAATCCCTTTTTCTGAACTCCTCCCATACCACATTTCACCCTCATGGCCCCATAGCCCTCTCAGATGCAAACCCCATCTATTTCTCACTCTTCTATACTTATAATACCTCAGCGCTCCCCTCCCCACTTGACCCTGCAGGAAGGCCCTCTGGGGGGAGGGGAAGGAGTGCTGAGAGGACTAAGAAATGTGAGGGGGAAGTTTTGGGTTCTGAGGGGAGAAGAGGTTCCTGGGGTGAGTGTCCCCACATGCACACGTGTGTGTGTGTGTTAGGGACACTCATCCCAGGAACCTCTTCTCCCCTCAGGTTGGGGTCAAGGGTGGATTTGCTCTGGCCACTTAGAGCATCTCCACCAACTCTGACCAATCCCTTTGGATCTGCCTATGCCTAGCCTTACACTGCCCTGGTTGCACCTTTGATTCAGCCTCAGTCTGCTACAATGAATAACACAGGAAAGGGTTATTGCAGTGACTTACCTCTTTGCTTCACCTTTGCAATTTCCTTCTGCCTCTGACTAGCTTAACCCTTCCCCTCCTTTCTCTGTCTTTCTTACCAGGAGTAGATAACAAACAGAATAATTGTAAAAAGAAAGGATAGCTTTATTTTTGGAAGATCAAGGATGGTTAACACCTCCTAAAATGAAGAGATTAGCAGGAATTAGACACACAGTAAATCACAAAGTCAATTGGCTACCTCAGCTCTGTCTGAATAGAAACATGTCTATCACTGCTGGGCAGTTTGCTTTAAACTTTGAATGAAGCAGGAAGCAAAGAGGGGATACTTCTTGGATCTCCCCCTGGTTCCGATTGCACTTTCTGTGAAGACAGCTGTCTCCTTAGTAAGAAGAGTTGGGGAGATCCGTATCTTGATGTGGATGTTTTTCAATCTGAACAAGGTATTTAAAGAGGCATCCTAAGTTCCTGTGGAATATTACTGTGCAGTTTCTCCTACTCGAATAAATTTGCTTTATGACATTCTTCCAAAAAACTCATGTCCAAAACAAAGGTATTGGTGGTCCATCCTTGGATATGATGCACAGTAATGCCAACTGTCACAACCATCACAACACTCGGGATTTCAAATTCAAAATAACTCCAACTTGTGATCTCCCAATCTAACCCTCAGATCTCCAGATTTTCTCAGCTGATAAATGGAGGAAAAGGGACTGGGGTAAGATCCGAGGCCTCTGCAGTGAGGGAGGGAGTGGGGCAGGGGTAAATGGGACCCCCAGGTTGGGGTGGGTTGTCCAGACACATGGCCCCTTGCAGCAGTGCACACCCCTGGGGGAGCCATGGGGGTATGTGCCCCACCATGGGGCAGAGGCAGGCTGTCCCCTGCAGGCTCAGAGCTCTGCGCCCTACTGCCTTGCCCCAGGAGCTCAGCTGTGTGATGCCATTGCTGCCCTCCAGGCAGGCAGGGGACACACTGGGGTTGCATGGCTGAGCTCCCAGGGCAAAGGCAGCAGGGCACAGCCCTGAGCCCACAGCAGGCAGCCCACATGCCTCCCCTGGGAGTGTGCGCTGCTGTGGGAATCCATGCCCTTTCCCCATGCCTCTGGATGACCCACCCCAGCGCCGTGGTCCCATTCATCCTTGCCCCTTGTCCTGTCCCACTCCCTCCTTCACTGCAGGGGCCTTGACCAGCCCCCACCTGCTCCTGCCCCTTTCCTTCCACTTACCAGATGGGTGCTGTCTGTGTGTGTGTCAGTGTCTGTGTGTGTCTCTGTCTGTCTGCTCTTCACTCTGAAGCCACAACCCATCCAGCCTTATTGCTTCTTCTCACTCCTGACCCACATTACCCCACATCCTGCCAAGGTGTGTGGGGACCCTCCCTCCCTCCCCGGGTTCCAAACCTCCCACACACACCCACAGCCTCCAACACCTTCACAAATAACCGCCCCCCCACACATACACACACTTCAGAAATAGCATCTCATAATTTGTGCCAATCTCTTGATATACATATTTATTTATTTATTTATTTATGGGGGGGGGGGTTTAAGAGTTTGTCTCATGATTTTTGGCATGGTGGCGTTGGCAATACTGGAGATATGTTTTTGCTTATGAAAAACAAAACCATTCAAATCATCCTCTCAGCTTTTTGGGCCATAGTTGAGAGGATAAAGAGCAAGCCTGTCTCCATGAGGTGGTCCCCAGTTTGTCCTCAGACTATATAGAGACAATATAGCCAAAATCGGGGGTGGGAAATTATTGGGTGGGAGGGCCATTTAACAAGTTTTGGTGGGCTGTTGAGGGATGCGTGTGCATGCACTCCCTGCAGCTGTCAGCCACTTTAGTTTCACCCAAAGTGGTGCATGGGAACATGGTATAGCACCAGCCTGGCCCAACTGCATGCTGGCGACTTGGGGCAGGGGAGCAGTGCAGGGAGACCTGTGAGGAGCAGTGGATTATCTGCGCCCATGAAAGTTGGTGCTGTGCTGTTTCCTCCTCCTTCCTGCACCTCCTTCCCTGCCCCGAGTCCCTGGTACACAGCTGGATTGGGTTGATGCTATGTTCCTGCATGCTGCTTTAGCTCACATGGGTGTGGCTGGTGTGGCTCCTACCTGACCTGGCTGCATGTTGGGGACTTGGGGTCAGACAGAAGGCATGCCAGGGCCAGGCAGGAACCACTCTACCTGTGCCTGTGAGGCGCAGCCTGAAGTGGAACATGGGAACACAGATCAGCCCCCCCACCGGGCCCCCCTCAGGCCCCAGGGGAGGCGCACCCAGG